CAATTGTGCAAAATTAACTACGCTACAAAGTTCACTTGGTTTTTACATTCAGTGTATCGTTCAATGAGTTTCTGTTAACTTTGGCTTTAACCCCGTTTAATATCTCAACATGTTACAAATGCACAAACTTCAGCATGAAAAAATACACACTCGACGTGCAATACCGATTACACACCTCGACTGGCTGCATCGGGCTTCAGACAAGTGTTAATGATGGTCACAAACAAGCTCACTTTCAATGTCTGGGACACATTTACACCCCTTCTCTAAAGGCCTGCACGTTATTTCACGTTTCGCTTTCTCATGTTGCCCTACAGTATAAATTGTGTCATCATGAACCTATGTGGGATTGGAAAGGTTGTCAAATGTCAAAGAGGCAAGGAGTTCTGCTTTTATAACCAGGACGGTCCCAGACGTTGAAAGATCCCTGTCTTGCCATTAGAGGAGCTTTCCTCCAGTTTTGGGTAATTTTGACTCGTAATTGGTGTTTTCCATATCTTTTCCTATGACTTTGATTGTATCTTAATTATGAATGAGGTCGATCTCTCTCCGGTTTAGGCACAGAATTTCACATTTTGCTGTATTAACTTTTGTATCAGAGGCCGCTGTAAAGTTGTCACAAATCAACAAGGTGTCTCTTACTGATTATTGTCTGTGAGAATGAGAGTTAGGTCGTCCATATACAAACAGAGTTGTGCCTCTTTACCTGCTGCTCCTGGAATTGGGAGGCCTCTGATGTTTTTTCTTGCCTTGAAACACATGCAAGGGGCTCAATTGCAAACAAGGAAGGGGAAAAAGGAAAACCCTGTCAAACACCCGATTTGATAGAAAACCTTTTCTGGGACCACAGGTCTCGGGAGGTGAGTAGTACCATATACAATTTTTATTGTATTTTGGGGTGAACTATTCCTTTAAGTTTTTGGAAATCTTGCTTAAAAAACAACATCATTGACTGCCTCCCGAGTTTTATCAGCTCAATTATTTTAAAATATGGATGGGATGTTGATGAGGAAGGAGAGGGGACTTTCTCCCGTCCCTGCAGTCCATGAAAATATTAATGTTCTGTTTTCAGAATACTTTATTTTTATGATTCCCCCCCCCCTTTTTCCCAAAAGATTTCTTAGCAATTCATAAATATATAATAACTCATGTGGAGACTTTGTAGTCTAATAATTCAGCCAAGAAAGCAAAATCATATTTCATTCTTCATAGCAGTAAAGCATGCTGTGTTGCATTCATTTGTATGAAATATATATTTAATTTTAACATCATTAGTATTAAAAGGTTGTGTGAAGTTACATCAACCTTCTCTCTCTTTCTCTCTTTTATATGCATACATAATGTATCATATATAAGTGTTTTTCAGGCAGCAATTAACAATTATTTTCATTATCAATTAATCTGAAGAGTATTTTCTATTTATTTTCTTGGTTTACTAAATTGTAAAATCACAATTTTCTAAAGCACAAGTTGACATTTTGTCTAGGCAGTCCAGCACCCAAATAATATTCAGTTTTATATCAGAGAAGATTAAAAAACATCAAATATTCATATTTGAAAAGCTGGAGCCAGATGTTTTCGGGGCATTTTTGCTTAAAATAGGAGTCAAAATGATTGCGGTTCAAACGCCTATTGATTCGACTCGTTTCACCTCTAAATATATTCCAGCAGTGGTCTGTTCAGTGTAGAGGCAATTAAAACCTGCATTGGCATTCAGACTGGGTTATTTGCCTTCTAACCAGTATTCTCTTGTTTTGCGCTGGCATGAAGAATCAAATAAAATCACCAAAACATCTCTGACATTTTTAAAATCATTGTTTGGTCTGTAATGGGGATTCATTTTTATGGGGAACAGGCTTTTATAGCCCGCAGCAAACAGTAAATAAGGCTCACTCTGTAAGGACATGCAGCATGCCTCCCTGTGAGAAGCCCGCACTGTGATACTGTAGGTACTCAGCTCTTCTCCATTCTTTATTTGTTGATGTTAATTATGTGTGTGATCAGTGCATTGATGCTTTAATATCAGATTTCATCCGTTCAAGGCAGACGACGTGATGTGAGGTATGCTACTATTCCAAACTAAATATCACCGCTCTGTCCTTTAGTTTGCTTTAATGTAGGAACAGGTACAAGAAATATGACATGTTTTTGTTTCTTTTCATCACAATTATTTTTCATATGACCGGTTCTCCCAGCAGACAAATCTCCAAGAACCATTGGGGGGTGATGAGAAACCACCTACCGCGCCACTCTGGCTCTATTACACTGCACTGAAAACTCACTCATTCTTGTAATATCTTTATCGGTGGCCTAATGATGATTTATAGCCAATACAACGGCAGCTGGTGAATCGTGGTGGTGAGTGCAGTTGTGCTGCTGAGCGAGTGTGGCCCCGAGGTGAGTGGAGTTCATTTTGAGCAGCAGAGTAGAAAGGATACAACAGAGAGTTGTACCATGCAGTTAATGGGAGCTGTGAGGCATAGAAGCTGTGACGAAACCTTCCCACGAGAACTCCAAATTCAAATCTAAAGAAAAATAGCAGGTCAATTCACCTGAGCTCTACAAATTGGTGGAGTTTGTTCCACCCACCATCAGACGTGAAACGGCCCACCTTACTGCTGGAGAACCTGGAGTCTGTTTTAATTGGGAAGTGCTGTGACATACCATAAAGATTTGTTTCCAGGTCAATACTGATACCGTGGTCCACTCTGATCTCTGATTAGAGTGGGAATAGCTTCTGCACACCTCCCTCCCCGCCCTGTTGAACAGGTTAAAAAGACAGAGGAGTGTTTGGTGGGTACTGACCACACTGACAGCGGACCTTATTAATTCACAAATGCACACTTTATTTGTGAATGTTACAAACATGAACTGTTGTTATTGTTCTGCTAAATTAAAAGTTGCAAGCTTCGGCAAATTATTTCAGTGAATTCCTTTTGATGATTTAATATATATATCTGCAGTTATTTATCATCTTTATAGGATTCTTGTTGCAGATAAAATGTTTTTTACAGTTCATACTTTGGATTGCCAACCACCCGTAGAGACGTTAATGAATGCAGTGGCATACTGTCTCATCGAGATACGTTTAGTGTGTTCACATGGCTGATCGGAAAAGCCACGAGTCAACACTCAAATTTATTCTACCAAATTGATGATTTAAAAGAAATAGTTTTGGGAAATACGCTTATTTGCTTTCTTACCGAGAGTTAAAAGACTAAAGCTGGGTTGATTTAGCTTAGCACAAGAACTGAAACTGTTTTTTTATATATATATAATTTGGCTTATAAATAGTTGCCTGCCAGAACTCCAGACTGATTGGTGCAATTAGATCTTGGCAGAACTATTTAGCATGTTATACATGTGAAACGTTACATATAGGGTGTAATTCTATGTCATTAGCTGTTGATTTTTCTCCCTGGCTGCCAGTCAGCGGTTATTGTTCAGGCAGTAAGTGGGTGGGCGAGGGAGGTGTTGGCTCTATCTTAGGCTGGTAATTTATGGCTCCAGCTGCTGTCTCCCTCTCCCCAGGTGGACAGCTTGATGCGTCAGCACTGCATCTCATTAGGGGGAGAAAAACACATTTCTAAGGGGAACACATTCTGCGAAAGGACGGCGCTGATTGGACACCAGTCTCTCGGTGGGATAGATGTGTAGATAGAAATCAACCATCTTGTTGATTGTCGAAAAGCTGCAATAAAAATCTCATGACAGCAGCTTTCCTAGTATATGACCCAACACCGACATATGGATCCATCAGAATAAAATGAAATGTAGAGAGCTGAGCTTAAAGGGGAATGTTTCGCACCAAAGTCTGTTCAACGCCAAGATAATAAATGATTCAGTTTACTAAAAACAGCAAACTACATACGACAATGACTGACAATGGACTGACAATGTGTTGCTATGTTGATGTAATAAAGAATACTAAATATATTAATTAAGTGCTTACTTCATGTAAAATATTCAAGAAATACATAAAATGCAGTTTCATCTTAATATTCTGTTGCAAACTTCAACAACTTTCTCTGATGTGAGGCAGCTACGTAGCATCCTGTTGTAATTCCGATAAAAAAAATGTAATTTTGGATTACTGTTCACTCACCTGACCTAATTTTACCGTCCTGCTCTCGTGCACTAACATCATATCTGGTTTGCTGTCTACTGTCTGCCTGATACCATGTGAACACAGCATTGTACTGGCAAACCTGCCGTGACTTAAGACAGAACATCTTTTGAAAATGGGTTTAATAAAATACTAAATTAGACCACCGAAGCAAAGCTGGACTTAAAGGTCAGGGGGCCACTTCAAGTGGTACCCGATAGACAAGACTGTAGAAACACCAGAATAGAGAGGCTCAGGAGAATGACAGGTGCATACTGCCCACTGTCTGATATTAAATCAATTTAGTTGTTTTTTTTAACTTCAACCTCAAACATTTATCGGATTTCATGTGGTTCCTTCTGGAGCTACAAAAAGCTTTATAGGTTGTTTTTTTTCAACATATGCAGTAGTACTTCGCTGTACACCTGTACACAATAGCGGGTTTTATTGGGGGCCCGCGCTCATCAAGGGGCACCATAAAGTAGCCCATGAGATCACAACCTACTTTGCTTAAAAAAAAAAAGTTGGTGTAGAGTTAGAAAGAATTTCTCTTAACAGACGTCTGTAGCCCGCTCCTCGTCTTTGCTTGAGGCTAGCAGCTCAACGCTACATTAGCCGCTACTGGCACAACACACCTGAATCTCTGACTAAACTGCATTATGGGAAATGTTTTAACAAGGAAGAAGAGTGTGTGAAATAAAAAAGACAATATGTCTTGTTCTGCTGCACTGATTTTAATGCTTTATTATTAAATGGTCCATCATAAGTTCAACACTGTTATAGGAGTGCAATGCTAAACATGTGGCTATTAAAGTTAAGAGTTAAATGTTTAAAGTTACTGTTCCAACTCACTGAGACCAAACACACAAAAAAAAAAAAATATCTTGCATTCTGCCAAAGTTGTCAATATTTTATTAATCTTCAGTTAAGGCAAACCATTACAAAGCATTTCACAAACCACAGTATGACGACAATATCATGTCCAACACCTGGTTTGGAAATTATTCAGCATGCAATTTAGAGACCAAGAGAGGTATGTAAACAACCTGGGATAAAACAGGAGTAGTGGCAAGAAGAACCCATACAGAATGTGTGTCATAGGAACAGAATGGAAAGAAACCAGAGATGCAACATGCGAGGTGGCTGAAATCTCTAAATAACACCCTAAGTAACAAACGAAGCACATGGCAGATGCACTAATCAAGTGAAATGAAGGTAGACTACCAAACCTCCCGGCATTTTGGAACAAACATGCACATTGTCTAAAGAGGCCAAGTTCAACAACTGAACACATGTTGGCACTGAATATTCTCTATACGGGCTTATGTACATAATTAGGTTTCAGCCTCAAAGAAAATTCTAAATGAAGAGAGAATCAAAGCCATTTCCATCAAGAAAAATAAATAATTAAATGTATTGTTGGAAAGACATCTTTCAGACTGAAAAATATATTTCATAATAACTTAATGTTTCACAATTGCATAAGTGTCATTGCTGTGCTCATTTCATATTTATTGATCATGTGTTTACTACTGAGGGTTGTAGTCTTTGATTTCCCTGTGGAGGAAATCTCACAGAGAAAAAGGAAGATTGTAGCTTGTTATAATCTTAGTAGGCCGGCCCAAAATAGCCATCTTGCTGTATTAATTACATGAAGTATTTCTAAAAAGTGCACATAACATATGACCCCTACTCCCTGTTTTCATGTCATCTCTTCACAGTCACAGTGTATGAGCTGCATGCGGACGCTGACAACATGCCTGCTAAATGATGTAGCCTACTTTTCCTAATTGATTTTCAGTAATTATAAACTTGTGAATGTTTTAAAGGGAAAATGTGAAAGTAACAACAAATCACTTTGACAAAAACAATTTGAAGAGGTTACTTGCAAAGTAAATATATCATATATGTGAGTCAGTAGTTATAATACTTCTTTAAATTACTTCATAACAATTGTATTCAATGTATATTCATGATTTCCTTTTGACTTGAATGCAGAGGTATTTTGGTATTCATGTGTGTTATGTAACTAAACTTAACGGCCTCAATTCATTTCTGATGAACAAGTGGATTTGGCAGCAGATTAAACGCTTCTTTGTCATCTGAAGGAGAAATGTCATCACAAATTAAAAATTAAAAAAGAAAAAGAAAGGACGCCAAATATGGACCTGGGCCTGCGACAGAAGGAGTTCACTGCCTCTGGACTGAGTTTCTGCAATATCATCACACTATATCGTCTCTTTGACAGCACTAAAGCAATGGGAGTCAAAGAACATTATGCGGCTAACAAAGATCGTAAAGCAACATGAATTACATAAACACGTTTGCTCTCAGCACAAAACAAATTATAACAATGAGAAATGTAAGCTTCACATTCTCTGTGACACACGACAACTCTTTGTAAACGTTAGTTCAGACTGTGTCATTCGATGAAACTTGCTTTAAGTACAAAATGAGACTGAATAATGCACAACACAGCGGATCAAAAATAAACTCACTTCTTAATGAATGTTTGCTGTTAATCCTTGAGACAATGTTAACAGCCACAGTTGAGTTGTAAACAAGTCTTGACTTTGAATATTGTACAAGGCTCAGCGACACTGTTAATTCTCATTATTTCAAGACAATTAGTGAAGAGCTGCAAGTATAAAAAGTACAGGACACTGGTAGAGACAGCGTGGAATAGTCTGTAATAGTCCTAATCTTGCAACAGTTTTATTGTCACCAACATTTTCTGTGTGTACATCTTAAACATGAGATCTGCTGCTGCTGGCAGAATAACACCTGGGTAACTGAATTTGGATATGTTTCTATATAATAGGCACATTTGGATCGAGATATTGAGTGACTGAGAGATGCTTATGGAAATAATGGCCAATATAAATAGATAGGATGCACACCACTGGGCCACAATGGCAATATCTGACTTTAAAAATGTCTACACAGTCACGAAAAAAAAATGGAGAGAACAAACCTGAACATATGGGCAGCTGTCTTAAATTAAATTGTACAACACAATTGTGATATTGTATCTTAGGTATTAAAATGGTATTCCAATGTTTTGTTATAAAATGGGCTGCTGTGCATAAGTGTAAAACAATGTTATCTAGGAACACTCAATTAATTTGAAAGAGTAAAAACAATGAATTCACTAAATAAGACAATAAATAATTCAGAAAAGATGGACTCGTAACTGTTTTTGTTTTGTGCAATCAGTTATTGTTTTCTTTAAAAAACATTCAACACCCAAATATCTCACTGCAAAATGTGCGATTGTTCAGTTTTCGTTCCGGGGAAACAAATCAATATAAGAAGGAGAAAAATAAGTCGGTATTCGTTGACATCAGTCTTTTGAAAGTGTATTTGTAGCGTCCTTTAAAAGTACAGAGCAAAATCCCAGACAATAAACTGTAACCACAACAAATATAATGGAAAGAAACACAAACAGCAAGATGACGAATGAGATATGGCAGCATGACTAATCATTTACCTCTCTGCATAAAACAGGGAAAGCAAGTATGTGCTTTGAATTATTCATCTATTTTTCTGTAAACATACTGTTGTTGTAATAAATATAAGTTAATTTTAATATGTCAGTATAGTCATTTCTTTACAAACATTGTTCCAGTTTCATTCGGTTTAAAACAATGCATGTCGTTGAAGCTGTGTTGAAAACATAACATGGGGTCCTTTCCATTATTTTCATTGTGGTAGCTGTTGGTTCCTTCAAAATAATCATTTTTGAGCTTATTAACATTGTAACCATTGTGCTTTTTGTTAGGACAGTAATTAGTGCATTCTGTTAATATAAATACTATAAATAGGTTTAACACATGGTGCTGGAAAATCAGTATGGCAACAGCTCACAGCAGGTCCTCTACATAACTGCTTGCAATTTAATTATCTATCAGTGAAAATGATTCATAAACTGCTGAATAGGTTTTATCACATGCAATTATATTACAGTCCTTATCAAAGTAGAAATGGGGATTTTTTTAATACACTGGTCATAAAATATAAGATGGAAAACTACAGGGAAAATAGGACTTTAATCCCCCCCCCCCTCCTTGAAACCCCCTTAAAGGAATAAATTATTTCTGCAATAAATAAATAAATAAATTAGTATACCTATGATTTCCTAGTTCAACACACACCGATTCCAAAAGGTATCACAAACATGATACACACTGGCACATTCTAATATATTAATGCCTTCAAACAGGCTCTCCCTACGAGTTCACTTGCTATCCATTACATCACCACTTTGACAGGTTTGACAGCGAACAACTAAAACCTCCTTCAACACCGTCCTCTTCTCAGCGCTCTCATCCTCAAGCACTCGGAAAGAAAAAACTTCCTGATCATCAGCGGGTTCACCAAAAGCAGTCGTATTTCTCCAAAACAATATGGAGTCTCGTCATCTTGTTGTTCAGCCAAATTTATATCTATGAAAGGGCCTTAGAGCGCATTTTCCCACGAGGGATGCTGCCCTACCTCAACGCAGAGCTGTTTTTGGCGCTCAAACGAGATTGGTCTGGAGTTGGTCTCCAGGCGAGTAAGCCGGTGGGATGGGGTTAGGTTTGATGGCTCTGGTCTTCATGGAGGAGATGAGCTGGTCAGGGATCTCGGCCAGTACGTCTTTAGCCAGACGCGCCATGCTCAGCACGTGGTTGCCTGTGCGGTCCATGTAGTCTCTGAACGGGACAAACTGTAAGAAATGTGTGACTTTATGAAAAGGATGTATCACGTATACAGCAAGTCTAACAGGCTAAAGCACTTCTAGTAACCCCTTTAGTTTAGATTGACTTTACTGTCCCCCTGAGCTCACCTGTTGATTGCACCATTGCAGCACTTTTGTAAAGGTTTCACCTGGAATGCTTTCCGAGGGTTCTACCTAGGACCCAACAAAAAGGGTTATACCTAGAACCTTCTGTGAAAGGTTTCACCCAGAACCCCCTATGAGAGGTTCCACAGACAACCCTTCTATGGTGTAATAGTCCCTAACAGAACCCTCTCTGGGGTTCTATCCAGAACGTTATTACCCTCTAATGGTGCTAACAAGAACCCACCTAGGGGTTTCTTCCGAGAACCTTTTTATATTCCAAGCCTTTCATCTAGAACTCTGAAGGGCCAGTGCTGATGTGCAGTGCCACCCACAACAATCATGCTTGACAAATGCTTGATGTTATGAACCCAGACATGATGGCGTTTAGTTTCTCGGGATATCTGACACTTCCACAACATATACAAAGCAGCAATAGTGGTTATTTCAGCCATGATTGATGAAACGTCTACGCAGAGGGAGTCCTCGCGTTTCTCCGGTGAGTCTAGCTCGAATAAAAATGGAACCTGCGATCAAACTCCCGCAAAAATGGAAAATTCCCTTCACGTTTGGTGTGAACGCAGCATTAGTCTTACAAAAAACTCTCTCCTCAAAAAAGAGTTCTTTAGAAGCAAATGATTGTGGGTAGAACCTAAACCCATCAGGAACAACCCGTTTGGAACCATTACTTCTTAGAGTGTACTTAAATAACAGGAGTTGCATCCAGGTATTTTGGCTCGTCTTATTTCTCATTGCTGCCATGCCGTTGCAGTATTTATGTTCTTTCATTCGCTGTGATGAAGAGGGGTATCGCAGTTGGCAGAAATGTGCAGCAGAGATGGTTTTACTTGTATTTAAGGTATTGAAGGGTTTCTTCAAGTTTGTCAATGTCGTCTTCACTCTCAACAATCTCTAGCGGCAACAGAAACTTAGTAGGAGAAAACACAAGCTGCCCAAGCTGACCGATCACAGTCTTGAGGTCGCCACATGCGTGTCTGTACCCCCATAAGTAGTACATTTTGAGGACGTTCATAGGGATACATGCGTAGGCTATGTAGCTACGTCATGGCCCCTTAACACACGGCCATAATTCAAGCTTCAGATCATTGTTGGTACTGACAGTTCAAAGGAAAGAGCATACAAAAGTTTCCCTGATGCTGGTAGTAGATAAAAGTCCAGAAGTTCAATAAAATCTCAAGAGTTTGCCCTCTTTCGAGCGTGAATGTTTTAAGATAATTTTGCCAATTAGAATATGATAATTAATGCAGTTTACATATCATCTTTACTGTGGCGCACAAGTAAAGGACAAAGGGTCACCAAAGCACTTTGGTTGATCCTCTGAGGATGAAGAACATGCACAGTTAATTAATTCGAGGATGAGCATGCAAAGTTAATTAATTCGAAATCCATCCATTTGATATCTTGTGTACGAAGTTGACATTTTAGGTTGAGTTTGGATAAGATAACTCTTGGAGTGGTTTCATCCTCTGGTGAGTATGAATGTGCTCAGTTAATCATGATGTGCTAACTGGATTTTCTCATTTTTATACTGAATGTTTGAATGAATTTGAACTATCAACCACACCTGTAGCTGTTGAGATGAGATATCTTGCTTTGTAATAAAACAACCAACCAACATCGCTGTCTGTAAGCATGGCCAATAAAGGAGCAAAAATGTAACTTTTTCACCACTGTGCCTTTGGAAAATAAGCCGTGTTCTTCCTATCGCAAGCGACAAAACATTAGAAAGGTCTCACCTGAACAATGTCTCTCTCTGCCAACTTCCCCCGGGAGGAAATCCTGATGTCATCTCCATCCAGCTCAACCATGGCTACAGAGAAAAGGTATTAAAATAATCTCAGATAAAAAGTATATTTTCATACTGATGATTATGTACAATATTTGCTGTGGATGAGAGCAAACCTAAAGAGTAAATTTGATTAAAACAAACCATCTCGGATGCAAACAGACCACAGACTGGTTTTCACTGTTTTATTTTTACACATTTGTTCCCTGAAGAACTTTATTTACTGTTCTCACCATCAAACTCAGCTTGGCCAACTCCAACAATGATGATAGACATGGGAAGTTTAGCTGCCTGTCGTGAACAAGAAGAACAAACAGTCAGTCGGGGTTACATTTACAGTATCTTTTTCCCAATAAACTTCTCATTCTGCAAAGTCAGTATTAACCTGCACTGTTGTCTCCAGTGAACAGAATCAATAATGGACAAAATAAAATAAACATAACGAATACGTAGCATTTTCTTGACTGTGTTTCACATTATGATGCATAGTTTGGGTTGTCAGGGGATAGAGATAACATACAAAATGCATTATTCAACTCAGGGGCCCAAAGGTTGTTACAACATCCAGCATATAAAATAATATTTTAGCTTCTACATATTGTGCAGGCCACTTTTACAATGTGGAATACCAAGTCAGTTCAAGGGAATAATGTTACACACCGTTCTTTACATAACGGTCACTAAGAATAAGACAAACATGTACAAACTCACATTATCTATTCATGATCTTTACATAAAGAAATGTTTGCACCACTATTAACGTCAGAGCATAAAGGCCACACTTCAACCTAAATAGTAAATATGTAATAGGGCTTATCTTCCACACTGGTTGTGGTGTCCAGGTTTCTCCACTGCATGATGAATCTAAACCACAGTCCTGATGTGGAGGAAGTGAAAGCTCTGGCATGGATGAATGATGTATGCTTGTGGTAGAAATGCATTTAAAGGGGCAAAAGTAGGTCAGCTTTCCTGGAAGAATCTCCCGAGGGGAGAGGCCTGTCACTAATAGGAGTTTATAGTCAGAGGTGGACCATCCTCTCGATGTTCACATGATCATTATTCTCCCTCCATCTCCTTTGCCATTTTATCTTCCCCTCCACCTGGCTTATTCCCCATGAACTCTTGTTCTCACACTCATTACATACATTCTCTTTGCCCCTTTCCAGCAGCAGAAGACCACACAAGCATATACCTATAAATGCCAGATCGGATTCTGTATCAAGGACTGAATTATTCAGTCTACACCATTTGTTACTTTGCTTGTACTGTACAGTCACTCAGGGGATATAACTCCATCAGTCTGTGTGAACACAATCCTCCTCTCACTGCACAGAACCACAACAAATATAGCATGGAAAAAAGTAACTTTCTCTGTGTCTGTTGGAAATCATCATCAGTTCTTCATCAATTTGGTTCAACTTCTTATTGAAGCAAAATGTTTATCTTGAGTTAAATATTCAAACCCAAAACTCTATGTTTTCTATGGCTGCCTTCTATGACTCATGCATGATTTGATACACATTTCCCCAAAAAGAGATCGAAACATGCTAGCTTGATTAGGAATTTGGTTTAATAAGAAATAAAATCTGTACAAAATAGAAAGTAGCAGAGCATCTAATCTTTGGGAAATTTGTAGATAAATCAGTCAGTAAGTGTTTAAAGTCGGCCAGACAGATGAAACGTTTGCTTTGTTGATTCCAAGTGGACAGATGAACTAAGCAAATGCAGTTATTTATGTGTCTACATTTTAAAATATTCATGGGTTTTATGAAGTTACTGGTCAAGCCAGCCTCCTATCCAGACAACAAAATCACAACCACAGACATAATCCAATACCTGAGCACAAATTGATTTATATTTTGGCCTACCGGGTCAGAGTGAGACTCTCTTTCAGAATCTAAAATCCTGAAATGAAATTTGGCGCTTATTGGAAAAAACATCAAAGGGAAGTTGGCCCCAGAGGCTGTCCTGTTAGATTAGTGGACACATTAGTCACTGAAGGCTAAGCTGTGCTGTTTGGTTCAACCATGGCAGTGTGGTCAGCAGCAGTACTGACAACATTACAAAATGATATCCGCAAAGTAAAATTGTTAAAGTTATCCCACAGCACAAATAAGAACTCAAAGGTGCAGAGATGAACGTTGCACGTAACTCAATTGTTAAGATTCATCTCTCTGGGGCAAAGGCTTAATGCCAAGTGAAGAAGGTTAATCAGTCCTTTTTTCTGTGGGCAGAAGAAAGTGTAGCCAGGTCCAAACTGAGTTGAGACGTGGCAGCAGGACACAGCAGGTTCGGGCCGAGCAGTGCAGAGCAGCAGACAAGATCTTAAAAGGAAGGTGTGGCTGTTCGATTGGTTTGATTAACAGTCGCAAATTCCCTTTAAACCCAGTCTGCTGGGGGTCAGAGCACCGTGTTGCTGTGTATCAGATGCTGGGCTGTGTAAGACCATTGCCTCTAATACAGTGAACCTGTTGACCCGAGAGTGAATCTCAGCTGAGCCCCTCAGCCTTCTGAGAGTCTCAATTAAAAGGACAAATATTGGACAAACAGAGCACCCGAGCACAGTGGGTGAGACAAGTGGAGGAGACAACATCCCACAAAGCCTCAAATCCTTGTGCTACTGGCTTATAAATGAGAAAAAAAGAGAAGTGCCACAGCAAGCTAAAAGCACCTGCATTGTTAATGCGAGCAAGCGAGAGAGAGAGAGAGAGACGTCCTCCAGTTGTTAGAGCTGCACTTACATTCACTATGGCCTCCTTGGTCTGAGCCATGTCTGATATGACGCCATCAGTAATGATGAGCAGAACAAAGTACTGAGATCCGTCCTGCACTGCTGCTGCATACCTGAAACAGAGAGATCATCAGCACAGACTGGTTTAAGTCTCATTTACATACAACTCTGACTTTGGTTCAAACCACCACAGAGCAAGTCTAAGAGCAGCAGAGCGGCAACCCCTTGTGCCAACAAAAAAAAACTTTTTCGGAAACAAAGTTGCCCCCCCCCGTCCACCGTGTGACACAAAGGCTTAATATAGATATGTAAAGAAGTGAAATATGTTGTATAGCTCTTCATGTCTCAGAGGTCTATCCAGACACTATTATGAAACCCATCAGAGACAGCGCAGTGAGTGTGGCCTAGTTTCAATCGCCCATCGCTGGCTGCTCTATGAATAATTTATTAAACTGTTTATGCAAGTACTGCAGTCTTATTCTTTAGAGCATTATTGATTGCCTAGCACTCGACTGACCACACTTGATGAGTGAAAAGGGGTGAAACATGACAGATCATTGTGGGAGCCAAGGACAGGTCAGAGGTCAGCCCTCAGTCATTTTAATCAAAGAGCGTGACAAGTCAGTGACAAAGGCAAGAGCAATGACTGGTGTTCAGGAGATTAAAAAGACCTTTGTCTTCCTCCTTCAGCGTACAGCAATGCGGGCCACACTCACTGGAGACGTTTGACCACATTAGCAGAGTAATAACACCATAAATAATAGTGTATTATAGAGATTACAATTGTAAGATTAAGGTTGCGCCATTGATGAGAACAAAGAGCATTTAGCTTATTACCAATTTAACATCACCCTATACATCTAGCATACAGTATGTATTATGCATCAACACCTTTAAGAGCATCGTCTGCTTCCATTAATGCTTCAGCTTTCTGCCTGTGCTGCATGCACATAAACTTCAAACCACTACCAAAGAGAAATGCATGTTCTTCTCAACATCGAAAGTTAAGATCTGTTTCTGCTCATGTACATTTTCATTTTAGTCTTTTCATCATTTAGTTACTAGATTTCACTTGTTCTGAATAGTTGAGACACTGCAACAGCTTTGTGAATAATCTTTAGTATTTGAGTTTTACTGCAACCTCGAGGACCAAGAGAGATCGTAGAATTATTAAGAAATTATTTAGTCTCCGATTGCTTTCAACCGAGACTATACAAAGCCATAATGTCTCAATATTATTGGGCAAAAAATTCTAAGAGTTTTGTTTATGATTCATTTTGTATTCCTTGAAATCACTCAATGAAATCTGCAGAAGACGTTTTCCTCATCTTTTCTCAATTTTATCATTCTTGTGTGTCTATGTTAGCAGGGAAATAAAGAAATAAAATAAAGCATTCATAAGAAAACTATAATGACTACAATAATGTAAACATAAGCTGATTTAAGACTACGAGTCCTCCTGTGGACACCCATAAGTGGAATCTGGCGAATAAACTCAAAATGAATGACAATATAGTACTACACAGTTTAATGAAATTATAAATGTTGACGAAATCTCTACATTGATAAACACGTCCTTATATCTGTAAAGAATGTCCATATATCTGTTTACAACAACGTTATAGTGTCTCATCAATTATTCATCAAATGTTTATACAGTTAAATTTAAAGTAAAGTCTTACCTCATGGTAATTGTTAACAACCCCGAAAATACAGGTAAATGCCGAAAGTCAAATCCAAAATTCAAGTTCATGTCCGCAGTCCACAAGCGTGAGTCCAAGTGTGAGTCATTAATATTCAGGTCCAAGCCAAGTCACGAGTCATCGTTACTGAGACTTAAATCCCAGTTTGAGTCCGAGACTCCAGTATTAAAACTGTGCTCTATTATGATTGAACTACTGGTTCAATCTTGAGAAGACCATTTTTAATAAATTGTGTGGTTCAGCCCCCCACCAGACTAGAGTCTAAAAAGAAATGTAGCACCTGCATTCTGAAATATCTGGTCCCAAATATGCCGGATTAATATTTAGATTAAACTCAGTTTGGCAGCCGATTATTTATTTTCCCTTCATTAGATCTGCTCAATTCATAGAGAAGCCATCACTCACTCTCTTAATACCTCTGACGGCGTGTCTACCCGCCGAGGATTATTTACCGATTGACTTTCAAAGGAAGGACAACTGTGCTCTGTGATGTTCACCGGGACAGCTATTTGTTCTAGTACCTGGCCACATGATTAACAACAGGCGAAAAGTTGGTCGGTCCGTACAGCTGAACCGTCTTAAGGCTTTGATGGTAAGCTTCGAGAATCCCCTCCATGCCGTTACAGTACGGGTTCTCAACGTTGCCATTCTGAGAAAAACAAAAACAAGGACGGTTGCCAGAATGGAATACAACAGCGCTTGACATGACAATTGATAGTCGATGTAAACAACAATTAGTGTTTCAGTATAGTACCACGTTGTGTCTGGGAGTAAAGTTAAAGAGTAACTTAATACCAGGCTGAAAAGCAGTGTTTTACTTTCCTCTCAACGTTTCATATTTGTCTGTTGCACCTGACCACATCTCTTGCAGCGATTTCAAAATTTCACTCATTCTGCTTCAATTAACGTCTGAGGAGTCTGAATCCGGCTCCGTTTAGCTAATGCTAACATTATTAGTCCATGCTTTGTCTGACAACAACAATTTTTACATAATTTGAATATGATGTCTGGTGTAATAACTGTAAGTATAGGACTTTGGCCAGTTGCAGTGCAATTGTAAGGTCTTTCAGGGGCTTATTTACACACGTGTGTTGTTACCTGACAAGTTAGTAAGTCAAAACATTGTCAAAAATATAGCAAACATCCATCCAACACATATGTGGGTTTCTGTGCTGGATGAAAATGTGCAACAGTTATATAGCAGCTAGTTGTGTTCTCAATAAAACGCATCACACCCAGCTGTGATGACGGGGTGTGCAGGTTCATCAGACTTACATCTTAACCTACAGAGGTCCGTGTAGTTGTGCTTCTCCGCTGTCAAACTTTGCTTTAACAGTTAGCTGACCTCAGTACAAGGCACATTTCTACCCAAATATGTCACACAGGACTCTAACTTTACTTTTAAACCCGCTTACAAGACCAGAGCATGAACGAATCAGACTTCAATTATATAGTGAAATGAATCTTAATTTTGCAAATTTTAATAGAAACATGGAGTGATGCAGATGTTACCCAGTAGACAGACTCCTCATTAGGCTGTACTATGCAGCAGCCAGAGCACATTAGCTGGCAGAGAGAAGCCAAATTGATTTAGGAAGATCCTTCAGCCTTATAGAACCTCATTTGCACTATAAAAGGTAAATGAAATTCACTCTGAATTATGCATATCAGAGGCGTAGCAGGAGTCTTCTCACAATGCACACATCCATATTGCTTAAAAACAGTTATCCATGCATGCTGGAGAGAGCATAAAAACACAAGCGAGTGCTCACAGTCAAAGATAAGCTCCACTGGGAGGGGCAAATTAACTTTAACATAGAGTCTGATTAACTTTATGAACATTTCATAGGGTGAATTACAACCCGAGAGTCTGAAACAACCCCATAATTTACTCACCAGAGGGAACTCATGGGAGACCCTCCCATCAGGGGGCAGCTTAGCACCGAATCCCAGGGCAGGGAACATCTTATCACTGTCATAGTCCTGGATGATCTCCCCCACGGCCTTCAGGGCCATGGCATAGGCATTCATCTGGTACGGGTTCATGTAGTGCAGTGAAGTGGACTGTGACGGATTTCCTTCCAAGACAAGAGAAGTCAGAGTCAGTGATGCAAACCATCAGACTGAGGCTGAACTGACAGCTGCAGGCTGAGCAACCAAGACCAAATTGGATGTTCTGAATCAAAGGTGGGCCTCGATGTAACTATCTGCGTTATTTGCAATAGAGGAATTCAATGTTTATATTTTCCTGTACATGTTTTGAAGTTACACTGTAAACACTTCTGGGTAGGTATTAGTTTCCAGGACTCCCTTTTATACTGGCATGAATCAGTAACAGTCAACATATGACATGCAGTTCAGTGAAAGCAGAGAACATAAAATACCTTTCGAATGATCTCATTGAAATGTTTGAGTGTATATAGGAACCACAGATTGACTATTTGCAATGGTGGGAAAATATTGAAATATTTAATATACTGTCTTACTGCATCTTTGTATTTGCACATCAACATGCCCACATCATGTCACCAAATATACCTAGAGTATGTTGAGTATGTTGTGCCCTTAAATTCACATCTATTGTTTGCTTTGTAGTTTGCACTAGATACAGAAAGCATGTTTTTAACCTTTCTACATTCTGTTTATAATCACATTTTGTTATGTCTTCTCTTGTTGTCTTCTTTTAAAAATGTATTACATGTACTTGACTTTGTTTATCATGTGAACATGTCAAAAAATAGTGTAACAAGAAAAAAAGATTTAAAAAAACAAGCAAGAAAACTCAAGCCGCCTCTTTGATTCATGGAAAATGCAATAGCCATACATCAGATGACAAATGGAAGCAGAACAGGGTTATGGCAGTAAAAACACTCACCGTTTGATGCAGTGAAATCAATGGCCACTGTGAAGTGAATCTGAGTCCTGAAACAGATGAATGGGGAAAGGATGCTGTTATCAAAAGAGAGGCAGGAAAAGTCAGCGCTGCAGTTTAATGAGGCTCTCCCTGGTTTCACTGTGCTCTCTGCTCCACCTCTCACCTGAGAGAGTGTGGATGATGCACCTTTACTGTCTGGGCAACATAGGATCTAATCAGGTTTTTATTATTTCATTTCATGAAACATTGAGAGCAGAAATGTTCTTCTGGTCAATCAGCATCCAAAACACAGCTTTGATCCTAAAATAATACACGTATTTAAAGATTTACCAGCACATCAGTAAACATCGAAAACACAAACACATCCCATAAAAAAAACTAGAAAAACAAATAAATGCAGAGTAATTTCACAAACGGTCACGTTATGAGTTGCCGCTGGCGGCTCAATGATTTGACTGAACATCACAATAAAGAGAGATTTAATTATTTACACGGCACAAGAGCTGGAAAAACAAAATAATACCAATTCCATACTAGCTGTTTTGATTTTTTACCTTCTGTTTTCAAGATATATGAACATTTCCACAATCCTGTACAGTATGTATGTGTACCGTGCAACTGATCGTCCATTATAGTCGCATCACAATCCTCACTGTAATCACCATTTTTGTCTTTGTTCCACCTGGATGCTACTGTATGATCAATGGAAAATTTGAGGTCTGCGTAAATTTGAAAAAAGCAGCCTCACAAAATGTTGAAAAACTACTGGATGTTTTTTATTCATGAGGCAGTGATGATAGACACACCTTGAAAATAAACTAAACACGGCCCGACTAGTCTCTGCTGGATTTATCCGTTTCCCCAGTGAGACAAAGGAAGAGAGAAATGGAAGGGGAGTCAGATCAAAGTGTGTGCTCTTTCATTGTGATGAGCACTGATTGCCTTTCCTGACTTCGATTCCATTGAGAAAATTCCCACAAGCGCAGTATCGGATATAATGGCAGCTTCCTCCTGGAGAGACTCTTACCCCAGCTCATTAATCAGCATTGAGCTGGACCGCTCAGCTGACAAAGGGGAATAGTTACAATGGCATGCTGCCTCAATTTGAAAGTCTCTGCTGATTTCTATGGTTGGTTTTGAAAGTTTAGCATGTAAAGCAAGGTGGTGAGTTAGTGTTACGGCAGAGTGCATACACTAGAAATGGTCACACGGGAACTGTCAATCAAACTGCCAATTACAGTCGTTCATCAGAGCACTCCATGGAAATTCATCCTCAGACAGAAGCAGACAGAAGCTGTTAAACTCTGCAGGGAGCACAACATGTGGGAGCACAACATGGTCATAATACTTTTCTATCTGAATGTTTTTAAGGACAAGAACCCAGTTGACGACTGTCACATTTATAGCATTAATATCCTGAACCCATTTACAACGCACAATCCCTGAAAAATGAAATATATCAAAATAAATAGACACAGTATAACAAGAGAACGCATACAAAAATACACAAAACAAACACGTTGATCAAATTTACAACAGCGATGTATAAGTACCTTAAAAAAAGTAGTGCTGAAACAATTAGTCAATTAATCGACAACCACTGACTAAAATAACCTCAGCTACCACGATCTTCTGTCATTGAACAAAATCATCAAATATCAATGTACTGGTCTGGTGATTGGGTTGTTGATTTTATATGATATATCTATTTCTACACATATTATCTTATGGCATCTACAATACAACCAGTGTCTTCCTAAAACATGTCAAACCTTTGGTCTAACACCGTACAGGACTAGGGACTGGTTAGCGTTAGGGTTGCCACTATCCTAAAATCCATCTACCTATCAGTATTTTGTCTGTCTGTCTGTGACTTGCTGCAGGAAGAGTTACAGCTCACACAGACAGTTGACTGACTTTGGTTTCACTAATTGTTTTTTTCCACTTGTAATGCTCTGTGGGAATATGTTTCAGAGCAGTGAGCTCACGAGTTATTTTGTGACAAAACAATCAATATGGATTGAGGTTGACTGATGCTGCAGTGTTGTCTGTTTTCTAGGTCTAACTCCAGTGGCTGGTCTGGGGTCACTGTTTCTATCTCTGCAATCCTCAAATCTGAAGTCCTTGAGAGCGGACAATTCTTCAGTCATCTTTCAGTTGTCAGACTCTTCTTTGAGTGACGTATTACTGTATGGACAAATAGCTGTACCATCATTTATTGTTACATTTAATCAGGAGTTCATAAATCTGACACCCGCCTTTGAATGGCCTCTAACAACCTGATTCAGAACAAATCCTTCAGAACAAGCAGTCCAATAATTCCCTCTGGGCTTCACTCTGTCCTTTCATATCATCACTAACCTCCTCAGCATCTCCTGTTTTTTTGTTCCCAGCTAAAATGACAGCTCCTCAACCACTTGTGCATCACCTTGAATTACTGCAATCATTTAAAAATAGATACAAACGTATCGGTGTCATATTGACTTTCCCCTTCCTGTTAGACAAACACCATATGGCCGGAGTCTTTGTAATGTGAAATCCCTGCAGTCTTGGCAATCTGGGATTTGAAAACAGAGCGACAGAGAATGCAGCTACTGTACACCTACAATCTCATCAGTGTGTGCAGTAATTTGGTAAACCCAGACCACATCAATGAGCAGCATGGCACGGTACTTTCCTTGTGTAATGACATGCAGGCAGATATACACAGGGGAGTTGTTTTTGTTTCAGAAGTGTGTGTGTGGGGGGGGATATCTATGTATAGATATATAGATATCATATAAAAGAAAGTAGATCTATGCAAATCCCTGTATTATTTATGCACTAACTTTCATTGATGGAGATCTAATACGTTCTGATTTTCATTTTACTACCAAAGCCCTGTGCTTTACTGCCTTACTTTAAAATGAGAATAGATTTATAAAAAATATATATAATTTATTTAACCTGCAAAACTAACACATTGTGTAAAGACGTTCTTCCAGGCCAAAGCAAAGTCTGCAAGCGTTCTATTCAAGGCTGCATACAGCCCCAGCCACCACCACCAATATGGTAGGGCAGCCTGTATGTAGCCCGAGAGGCCAAACACAGGACAAAAAGAGCCCCGTTGCTGCTCGTTAAGCTTAGTTACTAAGTTGTGAGCACAAGGCCTAGACTGCCGGGGGACTTCCTAGGATACATTGAGCTCCTATCGCCTCTTCTTCATCTCTTTTTGTATGAATTCATGTCCCATTAATGCTCATTACTAATTTTGCTTCTTCCCCGTAGTCTTTGTGCTTTCTCGCCTCCCAGGTTCCCATGGATCGTGGTTTTATATGGACCCTGGTCCTTCATCCCACCATGGCCCTGTTGACACCCACTGCTACTACCATTTTTATTATTACTCACATTACCATTCTATATTAACGATACCATTAACGCACATTCCTGACTTTGCTTCTTCACTCCTTCACTTTGTTTTTAAATCTCCTTTTGTTTTGGCTTATGTTTTGATGCTTTAATGATTTTATGTGAAGCACTTTGAATTGCCTTGTTGTTAAAATCTGCAATACAAATAAGCTTGCCTTGCTTTGCTTTGCCTTATACCTGGACCATGGTCTTGCCTCCTGCCGTGGTTCTGTCATATGCATTGAATGTGTTGTAACTCTGTTGTTGTTCATTCTGTACACATGACTCTATTACACTTCTGTCCAGATGGGACAGAAGATCTCGTATGTGTACAGATTGTAAAGCCCTCTGAGGCAAATGTCTAATTTGTGATTTTGGGCTACACAAAAATAAATTGAATTGAATTGAATTTTAGTGAGTCAGATCTTCTCTCTTGTCGTTTTTGGACTTTGGTGACACTGGACAGTGAGACAACAATGTTCAGAGAGATTTTAGTAAGAAATCACATAGCTATAAAAGTGAGGGGAATGCAAGTGGCATTTTGAAAAATGAATGGGACATGCCCCCCCCATCTCCAATGGAAATTACACCCTTGGATATTTAGTATGTGGCAGTAAAAGTTGCAGTAAAACAAAGAAAGGTCAGGGAAGTCTACAGTGGCAAGACTCCATTTGCAGGAAATTGCCACGACAGTTTTTGGTTGCAGCAATTCCCTGCACAACTGTGTCATAGATGAATTTAAAGTGAAGTATTCTGCCTCTGCTTCTTGTAAACAGGATCAACAATGGGCCGATGTCTGAATGAAACACTAATGCACAAAACCTACCAAGAATCTTTTTACATCAATACCTTCTCTTTCCTGTATTTCTGCAAAGTGAACACATAACAAACCATGAAGCGTCCAGTCAAATATAAAGCGGCAGAAGATTGAAGAAATATTTCCCAATTTTAAAGAATAAAACGGCAGTAAAAGAAGAAGACAAAGAAAAGTAAGTGCTATACTCCGGTAAAATATCACTCTGCAGTCTGACCACAAAGCAAACCTCAAAGAAATAAAATAAAAACACATCACCGTCTCCCATATCAGGACAACAAGATATTTTTGGGATGAAACTATTAAACCTTAATATGATCTCCACACAACAGAGACGCCACACAGGCCATTACACGGCCGATCACACTGCAGATTTCATTTAAAAAGAAATATTTCAACATGCAATGAAAACAATATAAATCTTTCATTAGCCTCTCAGAATCAGAGCAGCATGTGGCTTTTGGACTTTAATTACCTCTGTTTGACTATATCTCTGCCCCAGTTGAACGTCAATGAAAATTTATGAAAAACCAATTCACTGTGAAACCAGTCAGGATGTAATGGTGTGTCTGGACAAGAAATTGCTTTTTTACCCTCTGCTTCAGTAAATCATCTAAAATGCATCATTTTAGTTATGACCTGTTAGAAAGGGAGCGGTAAAGCAAACATTTATGAAAGGAAAGAAATCAACAGAAGAAATCTAAAATATCAAATCTGGGTCTTTGGATCAGGTGTAGCCTGATGTAGGCTTCATTGACATTCAGGCTCAGCTTTTTTTCCCAGTTGCTATTTTTATACATTTGTATATATGATTTGAAGAAAAGTCATCTTTTTCACCCGACTACA